AAAAAAAATTGTTTACATATGAAGAGGGAGAGTTAGTGCGAGGAGAGTTTGGTCATTGGGTAGTAGTGGGAACAGTCTTCCATGGATATGCCTTCTCCAATCATGAGGCTTTTATTAGTCTCAAACCCAATACATCAAAAAAAGACCTTTCTCTGTATCCGTATCTCTGCCACTGCCCAAGGAAAATGGAATAATTCCCCTCCCCTTAATACTTATTATCACGCTCCCCTCTCTTCCCTTCCCAACCATGCTCTAATCCCAATGTTGCTAAACTTAAAACTCTATACCTGCACCTTTGGTATTCCAATATATTAATGGATATAATCTTTCTCATCTTACTATAAGGTAAAATACACACATATAAAAGTATATTGAACTTAAATTTTATTTTTCTTTCGTCTTTTCACATAACCTTATACAGGCCTCATATATTTTTAGGTGTATAGGAGATAATCATTCTATTATAATAGCTTAGTTGACTCTTGATTACTATTTTTTTATGTTAAGTTGAAGTTGAAGTTGAAGTTTTCCTTTTTCTTTTTTTTATATATTCTTTTATTTTTTAATGTATTTTTTTCCGGGCGCAGACCCGAAAACCCGCCACTAAGTGTGCGGACATCAATAAAATTTCCTGAGTCCGCCACTGATTGCAGGGAAAGGCAGATATCTATTCCACAATAACCTTCTAGAGAAAATGAAGTTGCTTTTACCGGTTGTAGACTCACAATGTACAGAGGGAAGATGTGAAGCTCCAGAGATATAAGTAACAAATTTTCATAAGAACTATAAAAATTAAAAAACAATAAATTTTGCAGACTATATTGAAGTCAAGTTCGAAGCTGTATATTCCAAAAACTTGTAACTTAGACAATAAACCTGATTTCTATAAGGATAAATATAGTCCGAGTTGAGTTCAACGTATTTGCATTTCATGATGCCAGCTGGACCACCCCTGAAACCATACAATGTGCTTCCTTTTGCTCGCTCTTGCAGGTAATCTAAAACGAAAATCAAATGTACAAATTGAAAGCTAACCACATTAAACTAGACGATAGAATTGAAAAATAAAATAAACATTGATTCAGTTGAATTGATAATTGAAAATTAAAAATTATCCTTACCGAAAATTCCAGAAATCACATTGTGACCTCCAGGAGCCTGACCACCGGACAAAACCACACCAACCTTCAACTTGTGACTCGGATGCGGTGCATCCGAATCACTCGGCACCAACATCGCCGACGGTTGCCCGAACAGGTTCGGAATCAGCTTCGAAATCTCATCTGCAAAAACAAGAAAATTGAAAATTGAGATGAAGCAGGAGTGATTATGAAAGGTGGAGAAAGTGAAGGAGAAAGACCTGGATTGCCAGCAGCGGAGCTTTGGGGACCATCGACAATCTTGAAAGGGCTTTTGAGAACGGTGGGAAGAGGGAGAGCATGGTCGATACGACTGTTTTGGACTTCACTGTACACGGAGGCGAATCGGCCGGTAATCGAAGAAGAAGCGATCCTGCCGCCATCGAAACCACCGTTTGTTGCGACAGACGGCGCCATTGTTTTTTTGTTGACGAGAGAGTGAGATGGTGTTGAGTGAGTTACAATGCGTGTGATCGGTGGGATTTCACGTCCTTACCAAATTTTCACTTACCAAAAATAAATAAAATTTAGAATAAAATATTATGCTCGTCTTTTCATACCTACTGTATTATTACTTTTAATATCTTTAGATTAGAATATTAATAGAAGAGAAAAAAAAAAGTGAAGGTTAATTAAGATTATAATATAATAATATCGAGGATAAAAAAGTAGAGTAGACATGATTAAAAAAACATACGAAACACTTGATAAAGTGATACGATTTGGTTGGTGAACCTATTAATGCGTGTAAATGAGAAGCATGGGATATTCCCTTTTCATTATTCTAATCACTACTTTGGTGATGGGAGTTTTATTTTGATTTTTTAGTATAATTCACGATATCGCCTAATCGACGGTTGAAGATTAATTCTTTTGAGTGGCAGAGATTATTGAAATGAATTTTGCCTTTATTAATAAAGTCATTTTCATATATTGAAATACCTGATAGTATATTTAAGGGATCCAATTATCTATCAATTATGTCGAGTTTTATTGAATCGATGAAAACTCTTTTCATCTTTGGCAAAATTCCGCTAGTTTGCTCATATAGAATGAGTGGGGGAAAAATAGATGGAGAGTTATGATATATTAGATGTAATATAGTTCTAAATTTGTTGTTTTTTTTTCTTTTAGTTTGTAACTTTTTGTAGAATATTTTTCAAATTTGTCAACTGCACGAGTGCTAATCTATTTGCTACTGAAATTAAATGTCTCAATAATATAAGGGAAAAAAACATTTGCTGATGTTTTCTTTTCATGCGACAGACTCAAGAAAAATTTTCACTTATTTTTTTATTTTTATTTTTAAAAAAAATGGTAGGCCCTACTCTAATTTTATTTCAGCTGGAGAAGATAAAGTTTTACGGTCACCGGAAAGATACACAGCCCATAATATAATTCTTAAAAAATTTACAGAAATGTCAAGGGTTTGATTTTGTTAATTGTTATGTACGGATCCTGTTGTTTCTCTTGAGCTAAGAGCTGGGCTTGATTTATTGATTCTGTGTCTCTTTTTCCATATCTCTCATCGGGTCAACGAAATATCCATGGCTCCAATCCACTTCGTTTCCTGGGAGAAAATAACAGCCAAAAACTGCTGGCCTTCAAATTGCACAGATTTTTTAAAATGATGGGCTTTCACAAACAGACAACTCGTCAATTCCAAACCAGCCCATGGTAACAGGGCAAAAGTATATCGTGAATCTGGAAACGGAAGTAGCGAGCAATTTTATTAAAACTGACGGGTCATTGACCCGGTCGTATGTCAGTAGGTCACTGGTTCAATTGCATGATCCAATAATTATATGTAATTTTATATTTTATATTAAAAAATTATAAATATACTTAAATATCTAAAAAAATAATAAAGATTTCAAATATTTTAATATAAAAATAATAAATCACATACTATTATTCAATAAATGATCAAATAAAAATATAATGATCGTGATACGGGCTTTAAATTCAGAAAATGACATCTCTAACTATAAATCAAATCAAAATATTCTGCATAATGCACAATTGAGACAATATTAATGTTGTAGGTACATCACTTATGTAAGTCAAAAAAAATATTCAAATATGTCCATTATGATTTTTTTTTAGGACCGGGCCGGGTCACCGGTTAATCGACCGGGTCACCGGTTTTCCTGAAAACTGGCCGGGTCGCATCGGTTCTGATACATGGCCGGTCCGTTGCTTCAACCGGACCGGTTATATGACCGATTTACCGGTTCTCAGATCGACCCGGCCGGGTCGGTCCAATTTTAATAACTATGGTAGCGAGTACTGAGTATATTATTTACTTAATATATCAAATAGTAATTTATTTATGTTATGGGATTTATTAATCTCCTTTAATAGAAGATAGCTTGCATCATGCATAGAAACAAGTTATGAGGATCCCATCATTTTTTTTAAAATAAAAAATAAAAAAGAATGACACAATTTTTTATGCCTTACTAGCATAAGATAATTGTCTTTTATGAAAGGAGACAATTTAAACCCTTATATTATTATCCCATTTTTATAGTTATTTTATTCATAATTTTTTCTGTTTTCATAAGGAAGTAGGTATTTCCATGGCACTTCAAATATGTTCGTCAATCTAAAGCACGCCAAAATTATGGGACCAATGATATTTAGGCTCAATGAGAAGATTATTGTTTTATATTTTTGGATTTATAAAAAAAAAAAAAAAGGTCTTCATTCTTTTCAAATCATTTACTGGACCTAATGTCATGTTAAAAAGAAAACATTCATTATTCACTCTAACTTGTCATGGGAAATATAAAGAATTGGAAGTCACTTATGTGGTTTACATATGAAAAATACGAATCCATTCATTCTTTCAACTGATTCCTTCTTCTTAAGAAAAGCAAAAACTTTAAGAGACAGTCTGTCTCGTATCTCCCTAGTCTATGAATCCTTTCCTCTGTAGAGACTTATGCTTTTAGCTTTATCTTTAGCGAGTAAAAATCATTATAGCAACATGTGCATCAAGGCATGCATAAACAACTTGGATGTACTGACCACTGACATATTAAACTTAATGATGCAAAAAAACGAGGATCATTTATCTCCCAAATTAGCAAAGTAATCAATGATAATCACGTGTTAATCAGCCAGTGACCTTCTCTTGCTTTCTGTACCAATTTTGCTGCCTTTGTACTGTGTAGCATACAAAGACGAATCTGTTAAAGAGATTCTTAATTAGCTGCGTATCTTTATTGAGATTTTCACCATAATTGGACTTAACTACCTTGCTCCCGCACACAAAAGCAATTGTGCAACAGAAGTTTCAATTTAACAAGAAACGAGAAAGAAAATGGTTGAAAATAGGAATTCATTTATCCAACATTGGGAAAGAAGAGCATCATTGAAGTAGAAGACAGTGAATTTAGACATCTTATAACTCTAACTAATTTAGAGATCGGTCATCCATTGCTTTTTATCATTTTTCTTAATTTCAAAGAGAAACTGGGTCAATCAAGAGGATTATGGTATGTTAAATTACTAAGCAATTATGTTCATCAACTAGCTCTTATTAAAGAGAGGCTCCATCTCATGACCCCTCTCTTTTTTCCTTCGCTATTAATCAGATTTTAAAAGCAAGGCCACCTAATGTTATCTTAAAATGGTTGAGATCATGATAGGTCTAGTTAAGCATAATGATATTTGGCTCAATTAACTATAGTTAATGTCCCCCATATGCCCTCCAAGCTAATACCTAATTTAGTTTTGAGTGTTCTTAGAACAAAACATAATGATTAGTTCACTGCTGTGTCCCACTTGTCAATTGTGCATAAGTGATTATTCTTGAACAGATGTACCTTCAAAGCTGAGTCTTTGTGTCCTAGAATGAAAGTCTCAAAGCAACAGAAGAAGCAGCAGCATCAGCTTCAACAGAGAGGATGCAGGGCCTTGTGTTGCAGTTGCAGGTTTAGTGTTTCTTCCTCAGAGGAAGCAGAAAGCTCTGCCTCTGATAGGTTCCCTTCTGTATCTAGCCTGGCACATGCCATGGTGCAAGAGAGACTTGACCAAATGATTAGAGAAAGGGTTGAAGCTAGACATGTAGAGAGAAGAAGGCATCAGAGCAGAGAAGGAACCAAGTTCGTTGTGATGGTAGCAATGGAGAAATGCTCTTACGATCCAAGAGAGGACTTTAGAGAGTCCATGATGGAGATGATAACTGCAAACCGCCTTCAAGATGCGAAAGATCTTCGTAGTCTATTGAACTATTATATCTCTATGAACTCCAAAGAGTACCATACTCTTATCTTTCAGGTTTTTCATGATGTTTGTACTAATTTGTTCTTATCATGTAAAAGCCATTGGTAACAACGTGGAATTGCCAATTATTTCCAGAACAAATTAAGCAAGTCGGGAGATAGTTTAGCTTTTACAAATTCCATATGCATTATCTGAGAGCTTGCCATTTCACAAAGAACTCAAGATGATGTGGTCATTTAGTATACAAGAAACTTTGTTCAATTTCCATTGATAAGTTAAGGTTTGAGCTCTGTACAAATCCTTCTTCTTTTTTGTAAATGAAATAAAAAAAGAAGCATTTAATCAACATGAAAAACGACACATCAAGCATGAAATCATTAATGAGGAATTATTGACACAAAACTAAGTTAAAAATAATTTGTCCCTAAACTTTGGGACAAGTCTCGACTTAGAATTCCTATTTTTTTTTATTTTTTTTTTCATTACTAGTTATGCTTTCGTGGATTGGATCATTGTCTACCATCCTTTTGATTTTATATTTTCATTAATGGAATCAAAAACACGAATCCTACGCATAAAAGTTAACTACTACATGTTTGGTTTAAATGTTTATCAACGGGGCATAGCATTTAACACGAAATATATGACTGCGATTTAAGTGACTCACTTTCCTTTCCACTGAGCATTTGGCAAAAGGATGCGGTCCTCATCTTCTCCCATGCTAGTTTGCTTGAAATCCCATTCCAACAGCCTGAAAATAAACATCACCAATAATGTAAGTATTTTACTTTTTAAATATATTTTTCACTTCGGAATTTTTTTTTTCCAAAATAAATTTTCTTCTGAGGAAAGAGCACATTCTCTAAATAAAAAAGTTAAGTGAAGAACACAAATATTAAACCCATATAAAAAAAAATATGAATGGTTTATTGCTTGGTAAGGACGTGTCATGTGCGTAAAGTTGTACGTCTGGATTTAATAAGTTCTATGCATAAACTATATTCTCTAGATATTTGATAGTAACGTATTTTCAATGTTGTTGGAACCGAAGCAATCACAATTCACACACGATCTCAAATCATAAAAGAGAAAAAGAGACAAAAAAGTGAAGACACATATGTACTTGGTTTATCTAATGTGAATTACGTTCAGTAATATGTAATATGCATTATATTTTTCTCGTCATACTAATTACAACACTCAATTTACAAGGAAAATATAAATAGTATTAAAAATCATAAGCAACTCCATTTGCCCCAGCAATAATAGTCGTTATAATGCGAATTATGAGTCATACCCAATAAATATTATGAAAATAATTATTTTTTTATTAAAATGGAAAAAATAAGAATTCATGTGATATTAACCATAAAAAATTGGATGGAATAAATAAAATTAAATGGATTTTTTTTTTCAATTTTAGCAAGTGCTGAATTGAATCTTCGGTATCATGGGAGTAAGGGTGTAAATAGGTTAAGTTGGCCTACAGGGGCGTACAGCCTAGCCTATATTAGATCAGACTTGGCCTATTACAAATAGTCAAATAGAATAGGCCTAGGCTTTTAAGAAAAATCTATTTAGAAAGCAGACCATAGACTTTTTTGTACATGTCTGACCTATAAGTCTATAGGTTGGCCTATATCATATTATTTATTTTAAATAAAATAAATAAAATTATTATTTTAATAATTTTAAATAATAAAATAATAATATTTTATTTGTTTTTTAATTATGGGATGTTTAATAGGTTTAAACAGGCTAACAGATCTAGATCAAAGTTTTTATTTTTTAAATATAGGTCGGGTGATCAGACTTGTAAATTGGGTCTACGTACATAGGTTAACAGGTCAGGTCAAACCTAAAAATTTTCACACAAACCTAACTTATTTAAGTCAAAGCCTAATTTAACCTAATCTATTTACACCCTTACATTTAGAGCAACAATTAGTAAGTATAATAAATAGAGACATACATGTGTACGCAGTGAATAATAAGAGAAAACGGAAGTACGAGCCTAACATTTTGAATTATGAAAATAGGGATTAATGTTTTTTATAGTGTAGGAGATAATATGAATAAAAGTATAAGGAATTCATATGGGCCAATTTGAACAAAAGACAGAAAAAAAGTAGATCTTTTATATATATATATGAGTTTGGTGTTTGTCATTTTAAATGACATAAGTTATGTCATTTTAGGAGAGAGATAAACACAAAAAAAAAATCATAAAAGAGAGAAAGTGTGTGGTTTTTTTTTATTTAACTTTTAAATAAAAAAATTTATTTTGTGTCTATCTCTCTTTTAAAATGACATAATTTTATGTCATTTAAAATGACAAATACTTTTCTTTCTCTCTCTATATATAATAGATACGATTATTGCTTATAATACGAGAAATATTAATCCCATAAAAATATTATGAGTTAAAGAGGGGACCAACAACCTTTATTTTAGTTTTTAAACTCTCTCATCATGAGCTTCCGTAACATTGAGCTTATACAACATAGTCTATTGGACCTATACTTAACCACTCAACTATACTTATTTCGTAAGATGTCAAGCCTAATGGACTATTCCATCAACCCATTTTATATAAAAAAATATAAAAGTAGTTGTGAATGCAAGTCCATATAATGATTTTTCTAGCATTCTTGATCATATTTTCATGCTCCTTCTCACAAAGCTATCCTGGAGTTTGGGTGCGTGGTATAATGAGGAAGAACTCCTTCTTTCCACACGCAGCATGCACCTTGTCCACAAATTAATTATAAGCTAACTTCGTACTTATAATGAAATAGACATACTAAAATGCATGTGTAAATGGGATGGACTAGAGGGAGATATCTTCTTGAAGCCCAGTTTACTCCCCATTTAAGAGTAATGAATTTGAAGCTAGTTACTTTATATGTGCAATGGACAGATTTTAGTTCAACTATAAAAGCCCCATCATATAAGTGCCATAAGCCATGTTGTGTAACGAATAAATTTTTCCTTTATCTTTTGACAGCTACTAGCACTTGCTCTATCCTGGTTATCTTCTTCCTGAGAACAACTTTCTGCCTTTCTTTCGACACTTAGCCTTCTTATGCTCCTTCAAAGTAATAGACAGCTTGATCGGTACCTGTTAAAATTATTTCTTTTGCCCAAAAAACGATTAGCCCATGTGAACATGAACATGCATATAAATAATTAGGAAACCAGAGAATTGTATGCAGCGAAAACATTGAAAACTTGACAAAATATATAAGGGAAATATTACTCTCCTTTTACATGAGGTAACTTATCTCATTTTCTCTCACTTCGATTTTCGCACCCCACTTTTTTTTAATAAAACAAAAAGCAAATGATTTATCAGTTGAAATGTAGGGGTATGTTATACTTATTACTTCTTTTTCTTACTATCAAATTTTAACCATTGATTTCTGTTAATTTAATGGTTATAATTTATTAAAAATTAATAATTTATTAATAAATATGAAATCAACGGTTAAGATTTGATAGTAAAAGATAATAAGAAAAAAAAGTAATAAGTAACTTCTCCCTAAAATGTGTCTTGCATTAAAATTTAAACATTTTTCTTGCATCACTTTATTTTTAGATAAGAAAACAAAAAACATATATATTAATATACTTTTTCCTAGTTTTCTTTATCTAAAAGTAAAATACAAGATTAATATAGAAATTTTAATGAGTAAATACTATTACTTCTTTGCAAACTACCTTACCCTGCTTCAATGTGTTTTAACATTTTACATCACATTATACCCGGTAAAGGAGGGACTTTAGTTATTAACTTAATCAGACAAAATCAAACCTAGGATTATGCTGATAATCAAACAAAATAAGAGAAGTGTAAGATTATTTTTCTCTTTTATTCTTTTTTTTTTTAAATATAAGTAGGAATTGAACACATGACCTAATTACAAACTACCTAAATCCCTCACAACAAAACCAATCTTAGTGTTTCTTTTTTAATACTTTTTGTGTGTGACATTAACCTATGCTTAAAAATATTAAAATTATCTTTTTCCATAAAGTCTTTGATAATGCTTTGAGCTTCACGCATTGTATAATCTTAAATTGCTTAGTTTAAATTTCAATATGAGCTCTTTTCTCCATTTTAAAATAATTATTGTTTAAGGGTTTATATAAAAATGTAAAATTAATTATATATTTTAATTTCAAGAAAATATAAATATATAATTTTATTAAAAAATTGGTTTATTTTTTATTTTTTATTTTATTTCGGTTAATTCATTTTTATTAAAAATTATAAAAAAAAATGTCACATTATTTTTTTTTATTTTTATTTTTAAGAATTTACAAGTTTTTGATAGAGAAAATAAAATAGCACTTTTATGTGTATGTAGGAGATAATTTTATTTTCTACAATATGAGAAATATTAAATTCACAATAAAAACATATTAAATAAAAAAAATGCACCTTTATCATTTTACTTTATTAATATACTTTACTTTACTGAATAAAAATATGAAAAACGATAAAATGATAAAATTATTAACAAATTTATAATTTTAAAATAAAATTATAATTATAAGCTTATAATATAATAATTATTTTAAAGAATATACTACATTTAAGGCATTGATATATGTAAAGATGTGTTTGATGCGGAAAACAGTAGAATGGTGACAAAGATTAAATAGCATAAGGTTGAGTCTAATGAACCAGCTAAGCGACAAGTGGAAAGTGGTGAAAGTAAAGTGTTGTACCAAATAACATAAATTCACATGTGAGCCTTGTCAGAAAGTATAAGAACTTTAATATTTCAATATAAAGAGTCCGCATTTGATGAAGCTGAAGCGGAAACAAAACATCTAATAACAAGTTTCCCAACATTTTCATACTACTGCAAAAGGTTTATGGGGAAAACTTTTCTCATCTTACGAGAAACAAAAAATTATCACTTACTAAAACAAAGAAACGGGGCCATCTTTAAAAAAAATTAAAAATTGACACAAAATTTGAAGTATGTGCAAACAGCAATCATTGCCCAAGGTTTATATGCCATTTTGCGCCTTTATTTCCGAGCACTAGTTCAAATCCGCACACAATCCCCACCCTGTTGATTGAAATCGCCTTCGCT